GCCGTATTATAAATTGGAAAGGTTTTTACACACTTACGAATACATGTAAAATTAGCTTGAATGTGCTATTATTTGTACAGAATTATGTTCCTTGACCTCTCCTCGTTCGAAATATGTATGAATTCACAAAGTTACAAACGTTTTTAGACCTCCCAGAGCGAGCGTACGCAAGTTCCGCAGCGTCCGTACGGATCCGCACGGATCCGCAGCGGATCCGCGTTAACTTGACAACGCCAGAGGGATCCGCGAGCGACGGAGAGCGCTGGCGTGCTCGAGTGGGCAGTCGGCGACCGCAAAACAACCGAGGGGCGGGAAAATTCAAACGTCTAAACGCTGAAAAATAGAGGACAGGCCTCAGGAATAGTAAAATTAAACAATTTAAACGAATGAGTACAAACCGCATTGGATTGAAAAGGAAACATTATATTTGCATAACAAACTCAAGCTCAGGCAGATTCAGTCAACACAAGTCAATCAAAATAATGAGTTTTAAAAAAAAATCCATCACATCCGTAATTTAATGTAAATTCAAAAATGGAACTTTACATATTAGTTGCGTCAAAAAAACAAGAAGCACTTACTGGAGACCACGCGGCAGAGAAAGCGGCAAACACGTTTGCGTTTTGAAGCACAAGATCATTTACAATAAAGAGTCATTACTTGATTTTCAGACGCAGGATCAGCCTCTCTATGGTGCACTTATACGGTTCCTTCGTTTAAGTGAGCTCGAAGATGCGAACGACACCCTTTCGAGGAAGAGAATTTCTTGTCGCACACGCTGCATTTATACGGCTTCTCCCCTGTGTGGATCCGAAGGTGCTCTCTCAGGCCGCTGGATGAGGAACACTTCCTGTCACACTCGGTGCATTCATACGGTTTCTCCCCCGTGTGAGTTCGAAGGTGCAAGTGCAATCCACTTGATTGCGCAAACTCATCGTTGCACACGGTGCACTGGTACGGCCTCTCTCCAGTGTGGGACATTAAATGTATACGCAGACTTTCTGCACGTGCAAATTGCTTATGGCAGACTGTGCACTCAAACGGCCTCTCTCCGGTGTGGGTTTGTAGATGGATTTTCAGTCTGCCGGATGTTGCCCATTTCTTGTCACACAGGGTGCACTTGTAGGTTTTCTCCCCTGTGTGGGTCCGCAGGTGCACCTGTAATGGCCATGGTTGTGCAAACTCTTTGTCGCACTCGGTGCATTGGTACGGCTTCTCTCCAGTGTGGCTTTGAACATGAACACGCAACCCACCGGAGCGAGAGAATTTCTTGTCACACACGGTGCATTTGAACGGTCGCTCCCCACTGTGTGTTTGAATATGCTCTCTCAGACCGCAGGACGAAGACCATTTCGTGTCACACATGGGACACTCATATGGTTTCTCACCAGTGTGGGACCGCAGATGCACTCGCAGATGTGCCGAATGAGCAAATCGCTTGTGACAAACGGTACACTCGTGCGGTTTCTCCCCAGTATGTTTCCGCAGATGCAAACGCAGGGCGTAGGACGTTGGCAATTTACTTTGGCAAACGGTACACTCAAACACGGCACACTTTTCCCCTGTGTGCGTTCGAAGATGGCTTTTCAGTGTGCTAGATGAATCAAATGCCTTGTGACACTCGGTACACTCATATGGCTTCTCCCCGGTATGGGATCGAAGATGTAGCTGTAGATGACCTATCTGCACGAACGTTTTGTCGCACAGAGAGCACTCGAATGGCCTCTCACCGTTGTGGGTTCGTAGATGCACTTTAAGACCACCCGAATGGGTAAATCTTTGGTGGCACACGGTGCACTCGTGAGGTTTCTCTCCAGTATGGATTCGAAAGTGGATACGTAGACCGCTTGCACGCGAAAATGTCTTGTCACACACGGAGCATTCAAAGGATTTTTCACCTGTGTGGGTTAGAAGATGCGAGCGCAAAGTACCCGATTGCGCGAAGGTTTTCTGGCACACGGTGCACTCGAATGGCTTCTCCTTTGTATGGATTCGACGATGGGTTTTAAGGTTGGAGGATGTAGTAAACGTCTTGTCACACAGGGTGCACGCATACGGTCTCTCCCCAGTATGTGTCCGCAGATGGCTACGCAGTGCCCCTGATACTGTAAACTTTGCATGGCACACGACGCATTCAAATGGCTTCTCCCCAGTGTGGGTCCGAAGATGTGTACTCAGTGTGCCATACGTACCAAATGCCTTGTGACACTCGGTACACTCGAATGGCTTCTCACCGTTGTGGGTTCGTAGATGCAATTTAAGACCACCCGACAGGGTAAATCTCTTGTCACACACGGTGCACGCATATGGTTTCTCCCCAGTATGTCTCAGCAGATGGTCACGCAGTGCTCCTGATAATGCAAACTTTGCATGGCACACGACGCATTCAAATGGCTTCTCCCCAGTGTGGGTCCGAAGATGGTTGTTCAAAGTGTCAGATCTACGAAATGCCATGTGGCACTCGGTACACTCGAATGGCTTCTCACCGTTGTGGGTTTGTAGATGCCTTCGAAGACCACTATCCTGGGAAAATCTCTTGTGGCACACGGTGCACTCGTACGGTTTTTCTC